TTTTTTTAAAAAATGAAAAAAAAATTATTTTTAGATGAAAACAATACAGTAACCGTATTTGACGCACTACTATTATAATAAGATATCTTAATATTGAATTAGTGTTAAGTATAATATTTATAAAAAACTTACTGCCATACTTTCATGTTGTGCAAATAAATATTGAAAACCTGCAACAATCCTTCCTTTTTAAACATGTATCGATACCGATACATTCGAAGCATAATCAACTTCTTCATCATATTTCTTGTCCACATTTTTAAATATTTTTCGAAATAATTGTGCAATTAACGTATTTTTTATCAATTTCACTTCCAAAAGTGATTTAGTATAATGAATTAAAAATCTATAAATCGATTTTTCTTTGTTTTTATAATTTTTATTCTTTTTTTGTTTAAATGAACAAAAGAAAAACGTGATAATTAAAACTAAAGTTTAAACATTTTTTTTTAATCAATAATAATCACCAAACGAATTTTATGTTCAGATATGAAAGAAATAAAAATTTCTTAAATAATTTAAATATTTAAAAAAAATTTTCTTAAATAATTGAAATAAGATAATGAAATAAAATACTTGGAAGCTACTAAGGATTTGCAACTCCAGATGAGAATACTCTTACTGTTTCTTTTGAGAATATTGAGAAATATTATCAACTACAATTACTGAATAATATTACAGAATTTATATATCTATGCCAAGTAGATTGTAATTTTGACAAAGATATTGTTATTAAAAAAATGATGAACAATGTCGTGTGAGTCTTGTAGATGTACTAACTAGGCATAAATTAATTTAATTGTGCCACTTATCAGAATTTATGGAAAAATTGTTAGAACCCATCCAATACATCAAGAATTAGTTCTTGGAATATTCTCAGGTATTAACTATATTGCTGTTCCAGCCTTATGATCTCTAGTTAATATTTCATCCAATAGCCATTGTTTATGATAACATCCTGCAATCGTTTATGCATGGAGTTGGATAAATTTACTGTGATATCAGGACGTTGCTGAACTCTGGTCCAAACTTGTTGGACATGTATTCGGAGATCGTCTCTCGTTCTTGGGAGCTGTCCTGTTCTCCATTTCAGACTCATGTAACCTAGATAAAATTTTTTATTAAAATAAGTTTATAGAATTAGAATAATATTATTGAATTACTCCAGATGTTTTCAATAGGATTCAGATCTGGGGATTTTGCAGGATGAGGCAGGAGAAGAATTTCAGGATGTCTGTCAAACCAATTTGTAACTATCCTTGCTGTATGTACTGCACTGTTATCTTGCACAAACGGGAGAATTCGATAATCTTCTTCTGGATAAACCTCTCTTGCAGCAGGCAACATTACTTCTTCAAGGACGTCGACGTATTCTTCAGCATTCATTCTTGACGACACCTCTTGTAATACCATTACTCCATAACTGGTCATGCAACCCCAGAACATAATGTTTTGTCGGTTGCTATAATTGTCTGGAAATACGTATCGCGGTTTCAATCTATCACATCTAGGTCGCCAGATTTTTAATTTTCCAGACATTGATGTTGAAAATAGCTGAAATGTATAAAGCTTTTTCTAGTAAATTAAAATTAGAGAAAGGATTAAGTTATTTCTTACTTTTTCATCTGACCAAATTACATGAGCCCAGTGATTTTGTCCCCATCCTAGAAAATCATGAGCATATTGTATTCTAGCTCTTCGATGATCATCTGTAAGGGATGGTTTTTTTGCAGCTATGCAGCTCACCAGTCCTGCCTCTTTGAACCTACGTCGAGCTGTCAGATCAGATATATTTACTCTAGTCCGAACTACAATATCTGCTGAAGTTTCTGAGGGATGGTTGACGAGATTTGCGATCATTTGCTGATTTTCATCATGAGTTGTTTTTCTAGGCCGATGGTTATTTTTTCTATGATCTTCCAATAATGCTTCATTACCAATTTCATATTTCGTTTTCCATAAATTCACAGTTTTTGTACTGCATTGTAATAATGCAGATACTTCTGCTACACTCTTACCTGCTTCCAAAAGTCCAATAATTATGCCTCTTTGAGCAGGAGATAGATTAGTATATATATTGGATCTGTTCATTATATCACTCGAGTGAAATATTTCTTTAGATATCTTAAAAAATATTTTTCAACATGTTATGATAAATCAATGTCATAAACAATTGAATGATAAAAAAACAAGTGATAAGAATGATTATCTATCTAAATAAATTCAAATTTAGTTTGTATTAAGTATTTTTAAGTGTCTTTTGAATTTTAAAATTATTGTTGGAGAACCATCATCAATAGTTCAATCTCCTGGAGGCGACACATTGCGTCATAATTTCCAGCAAATCCAGGAAGAGCGAACGTTAACTCAAGACATTCCTCAACAGCCACACTCTAATAAAGAAAAAGCTTCAAGTAGAAATCAGAGAGAAATACCTGAACCTGGACCTCCAGCACGACCTGCCATTCCTCACAGACTCATTGAACCACAAGCGCCTTCTCGACCATTGCCACCAACCCCTCGAGATGATCCAAGACACCAGCACAAAGTTTCTACGCCACCTTCTAATCATCATTCAGCTGCGAATTCAAGTGGAGCAGGCAATGGAGGATCTGGTGCACAAGCTCCACAAAGAAATAGTCAAGGCCAAGAAGAGAAAAAACTGAAAGTGAAATAATCTTTGGCAATAGACAACAAAACTTCTGACGAGAACGACATGAAGCCAGACTTTTGCGAGCAAGTGAGGACTCTTCAAGAAGACGAAGTTGTAGACCTACTGACCCACCGACTTCTGACGATGCTGGAAATATTAAGTCTACAGCTAGTACCACAGCTAGCGAGTACAGCCCTGTTATCACCCAGAATCGAGAAGGAGGAGAACGTGCAAGAAGCAGCGGAGAAGGAGACTTCCAGAGGTCAGATTCATCGCCTGGCTCACGACCTAGCTCGGTTCTACCGGACCTTTTGACCTCGTCACCGGGTCAACGGCAAGACAAGTCAAACAGCGAAGAGTATCGACAAGCTGTCAAAACACCTGCACCTCTTGCACTTCAACAGAAACAGAGATCTTTCTTGACCTTTGGTTTTGGTGCTGGTCCAGCGAGAAGAGAATCACATGTCAATGTTAATGTCACTCCTACAAGTCATGATTTAGCTTCAGATACTCCGGAAATTAAATAAAATAAAATATCTTTGTATAAATAATTAAATAAAAAATTTTCTTATCATATCATTGCAAATACGTATGATATTTTTCTCAAAAAAGAATTAGATCTTTTTAAGAATGAGAATGTACTATGTTTTAAATATTAATAAAAATAAGAATAAAAATAAAAAGTATTTTTTGTGATTATCATTAACATTTATTAATATGTATATTGAAAAATAACAAAAATAATGAATTGTTATGACTGAAGTCATAACATTTTTTATAATTATAATAAATGTAACATTTAAATTCACTGAAGATACACTGTTTATTATTTATAAACAAAAATGAATTCTGTTTCATTTCTGCTTCTGAAAGAGAGTGAAGGAATAATGTTACCTAAAAAAAATAAAAAAACTAAAAATAAGTGATGACATTTCTGTGATTACGTTTCTGTGATTAAGAATTTTCCTCGATCTTTGTAAATATGTTTTGAAGCTTCTTTGACACCATCTAAAACTCCTGTACCAGATACTGGATGAATAGTTACCAAATCCGCCCACTCCGAGATTTTATACAATCCTTTAGAATATTGCAGAGCTACTGTGTTACGGATATCTCAAAATTTTTAGTCTTCCATGATCAAAAATTTATGTTTTAATGCTTCATAAAAATCATCAATTATGTCTACGTGGATTTTTAAAATAACAATGTGGGGTCCAGCAAGTTCAGCTAATTCTAAAATATCATTAGTTTTTGTCATGTCAGCTGCTAATCAAAGATTTGTTTTTTTTTTCCCATGAGCTCGAAAAGATTGGCAGCCAGCTGATTCATAGTAAGCTTTGATCTAGATGCATAATCCATTATCAAACGATTATGTGATGATTCTGTAAACATATTAAATATTTAAAAATCAATCATTCATTTTTATGAATGTTTGTTTTGCAATGTTTTAAAATTTATATTAATTTTTACCTTTATTCAATGTTATCAATGTCGCTGAATATTCTTTTATGTATTGAGAAACATTTTTAATCGTTTCTAAAGTAATTTTAACAGCTTCAAAAAGATACTTCATTAACTTGGTAAGAGTATACAAACTTCTTACTTTAATACCAGCATTTTCTATATTTTTTTTGCCACTTTGTTCTCGGTCTATAATTACTAATGCTTTAGTAACGTTCAAACCTTCTGGAGTTAAGTCTTTTCTAAAATACTACTTCCACTGATAATAACATCTTCGATAATAACACAATTATCTCCTTTTTTGTATTCACCTTTAATCATTTTTTTTGTACTATAACTTTTTGCTTCTTTTTTTCTTATTATCATTGGAATGTACCACATAATTGATCAATTTTTTTACTACTATCGCTTAATTTCCAAAGAGTACTTGAAAGCCGGCTCTAAAATTGAGATAAATCATAATAAAATATAATTGATATCAATTATATTTTAATTACATTATAACCTGTAATATTAAATTAAATTTAAATTTGATAATTACTTACAAAAATCTTTAGATATCCTATGATAACTCGCCTCTCGAATACATGTCAACACGAGTTATGTTTACATTTATAAAATTGACACTGTACACTGTTTATTATTTATAAACAAAAATGTTTGTTAGCTGTCAAAAATGAGGGGAAATAATTAAAATTAGGGGAAATAAGATGTTTTGGAGTAGGAAAATTTATTTTTAAGAGGGGGCAGGGCCGGAGGAGAATTTAGTCATAGAATATTTGAAAAATAATAGATGGAATAATTCATATAAAAAAAAAACCGTCTCGGTCGGTAATTTCTCCCATGGTAATGGGAAGGCATTAATGAACACGAGTGTACTACGCGACATAAATGTTGTCTAATTTTTTTAAGGTTATTCATCTGATTTCCTATACTCTCTAATACCAAATTCAGATAGCATTTATATCGCGTAGTGTATCTTGATAAGACATTTGATGTTCCTGTTATAATAAAATTTCATTTGTTTCTCACTCGTAGTAATCAAATTGTTTAATTAATTGATTATTTTCGGTTATAAAAAAATTGCAAATGGATGATCCTGAAAAAATTGAATTGATTCGCAAATCAATAACGACCCATGAGGATTTTCCAAAAAAAGGAATAATTTACAAGTATGTTCAAATAACTTTTTTGACATTGTATTTTTAACTGTGATTTCCGAAATACATATAAGATAATGAATTTTTTCTCTACTGTATTTCTGAATATAAAACACCTTAGAGTAAAAAAGATGTTTTGACTTGATATAACCATAGCTTTTTTCTGAAATTTTATTCTATTCTCAAATTTACTTATGTTTTTATCGTTACCGACATAGTCAGAATGTGATTTGCAACAATTGTATAATTCTTCCAACAATTTAACTTAATGTAAATAATGAAAGACGACATTCAAAACAGCACTGGACATTGATCTTGTTCCATTTTTCTACGGCTATACATGTGATTTCCTTAATCCATATTATACAAAAAAAAACATCAATGTCTGGTGTCGTATTAACTTGATTGAAAAAATAAATGCTGCATAAAAGTAGCAAGGCCAAAATTATAGTCATAACAATGTTACATATTCTTAGTAACAGAAACAACATTCAGTCAGGGAAATTTTCAGAATTATTAAAAAAAAAAATACGTGGCTAAATTCGTCATTAACCAGTGAATCAATATTAAAATTTTGGGATTTTTTATCCATTATTAAGATCGACAATATTTTTCAAAACATTTCTAGAAAAATTTGTGGTATTGGATGAAGAAAATCTTTTTAAAAAGCTTCAGAAAAAATTGTCGGAGTTGACCTTAGATAGTATTTTTGTAGTACAAATTTTATAATTACATTGGCATGAACGTTACAGTTGTTAGATCCGTGTGATGTGGGCGTTATATTGCATGGTTATATTAATGTAATCCCTGCTTACAGAATTCTATTGCGAGAAGGGAGTTCAATAGAAAAATTTCATCGTAAATTTTCTATTGAACGTTTTTGTTTTTCCTATAGAAATCGCTTGAATCCTATTGAGTTGTACTATTGAAATACGCTGAATCTTATTCAGATGTCCCATTGAGGTATGCTGAATCCTATTTAACTTCCTAATAGGATTTGATATAATTCAATGGGAATACTGTTGTCTCAGAATTTCCAATAGAATGATGCAGAATCCTATTCGATTCTCCAATAAGATTTTAGTGAATTTAATAGGACTTGTGAGATTACAGTTTCTTCATTGAAAAGAGGCAATTCCTTTTCGATGCTATAATAGGATTTGATATAATTCACTGGGAATATTGTTGTCTCAGAATTTCCTCTAAAATCAAAGGTGAACCTATTGAACGTTTCAATAAGATTTCATCACCACAAAAAAAATTCTTTTAAACGAAAGGAAATTTTAATTCGCTCTGGAGGTTTTTTGTATATACGAATTTGTTGTTTAAATGTACACCTGGAATGAAATTTATTAAAAATTTTGTCTGAAAAAATCCTGATTATGGTGAGATTCGATCCTGGCATCCTCGGGTCCACAAGTCCAGTACGCTGCCGACTGCATAATTCTAAAACATGGAAACATGACTTTCGTCTAATCTATTTGGGTTAAAAATTTGAAATATTTTGAACATTAATCAAGTTTGCATCCTAGCAAGTATTTTAAAGCAAAAAAAGAATAATTGTCATTTATGAAGATATGACAGGTAGAATGCAACTCAGAAATTATATATTTATCCCAATGTCCCATAATAGGATTTTATATTATTTAAAAGGAGAACATTAAAACAATTTTATAGAAAATCAATAGATTCGAAAAGGAAACACGACTTAAAAATTATTTAAAAAATTAATTAAACCTCCATAGGATTTTGCATTATTTAATAAGTTCGACTTGTCCGTACGTATGTATGTATGCACGTTTGTATGTACGTCAGCATTTTTTCCGTTTCTGATATCTTAAGAACGGATCGAAATATCAACCCTAACCAAAATTTATTCGAAAGATATTATTATAAAGAAGATCTGGAAGGAATTTAAGTTGTTAAGCTGTTTTTTTAATAACAATAAAACTAATGAGTAGATAAAAAAATTAGCTATTGAAAAAACTTGTGTGACAAACAATAACAATTTCACTTGAATATTGAGTCGATATTGACTGGACGTCATTGTTCGTAACCAAATATCACATTGAACAATCACGCATTGTTTACAACAATTTAAATTTGTTATAAACAATTCAAAATCGTATTTAATAGTGCGTAGATCACATAGATGCGAATGTTTTTGTCGAAATGATATTGTAAAATAAGACCAAATAACAATTTCGGAAAATTAATAAATAAAGAAAAATGTTTACTAAAGATTGACAGCAATTAATTAGAAAGAAAGAATCCGTGCAGTCAACCTAAGTCTCAGTCAAAAACAGGAGATAAACAAACTCTCCCCTCGTTGCTACAAACAATCTAATCGTCAAGCAATCGTCGTTAACTAAAAAACTGTCGTTAGTCTAATAGTCATTAGATTGCGACATACAAATATTTTACAATATTATTTTCGATGAGATATGACACTTAACAATTATTCATTATTTATAACTATTTAAATTTTTTGAAAACAACTCCATTGGATAATGCAAAATCCTATTGAGGTTTATAATAATAGATAATTTGAAAAATTTCTGAGTCGTGAACGAAATTATTGTGTTACTAGAAAAGAATTGTTAGCTGTTGTTATTTCGGTTAAAAATTTCCGTCATTTTCTTCTCGGTAAACGATTCACAATTAAAACTGATCATACTCCTCTTAGCTTGTTACTTTTTTTCAAAAATCCTAAAGATCAAGTTACTCGTTGGTTAGAAACTTTGTTCCAATATGATTTTTCAGTTCAGCACAGACCTGGTCGAAGTCATGGTATTGCTGATGCTTTCCTTGCTTAAACATTCCCATTAAGAAAGACTAAATCCTATAGGCTTTTTCAGAATTTTCTTTATTATGTATCGAACCTCAATAGGATCTAACATTATCCAATAGGTTTGACATCTCCAACATCCAATAGGATATGAATAGATCTCAATAGGGGAATACGACTAATTGTTTCAACTGGCTAGGATTGAAATTCTGAAAACTCCAATACTTGAGAAACTCCTATAAATCTCGAGTCAATTGGATAATGATCTAGAGATTTATCTTTAAGGACTTCGGAGCCAATTATAATAGGGCTTCCCGTCACGTTTGATTTTGCGAAACAGATGTATTTAATAAAAACTATTTTTTCCTTATTGACATAAACACAGTTATTAGGAGGATCTGTTGTGACAACAAAATTGCGGAATTTTATGCGTCTGTAAAAATTAACATAATCTTTTGGAAAACTCGAATGTTTTGCAATACGATATTCTCAGTGAAATTGAGAAGGGGCCATTTTCTTAGGTGGAGTCAGAGAAGAGAGACCACCATAGAAGTCCAATGCTGTGTTAAAAATCCGGACGGAGTTTCGGTCAACATGTCGGTATTTTGGGTCAACATGTCGGTAATCTTAGGTCACAACATAAAAGCTTCTGTGAACCCAACACATGATGGCGCTGCTCCGAATTACTTGAGCCACGCCTTTCAATCTAAAAGAGAGGAAAGACAAGATTTGTGTTCTCCTTTACTCTCATTGTGAATATCCCAATACAGTTAAATTCCTAACACAAGCTCTCGTCCCTCAAATATAAAGAAAATCGGACTCAGATTGAGTGACTGTTTTTATAGCCACTCATTTGTAGAGAATTGAATTCTCTATCAAATGAAATATATTTTTTTTTCTTTTTTTTTTTTTTAAATGTTTATAACAAAAAAAAAAAGCAAAATCAAATTAATTAATGAGAACGAAGAGAATTTAATCCTCGCTAATGAGTGGCTATATTTGCTATCATCGTAGTTTTAAAAAATCTTTTTTTTTGATATTAAAGAAGGATGAAAAATTGAATGAAGGACCCACATTTATGCTAGTGGAACTTTTTTCCAAGTTCTCAATCCCCCGAATGTAAGGAAAATCGGACTCAGATTGAGTGACCGTTTTTATAGCCACTCATTTGTAGAGAATTGAATTTTCTATCAAATAAGCCATACTTATTTCGCAATTTTTTTCTTTTAATTTTTTTATCGTCGCTCTATATAAATGGAGCTGTTGGAGTTTACCCCTCCTTAGCATAGAATAGGCGCTATGCGGGCTTTTTTTTAAAAGCAACTACGTCGCGACGTCGAGAACGTTGTTGTTGTGCTAGAAAGAATATATTCTTTCAATTACCTCTAGAAAATATCATTTTTCATTTTTTAAACAGTCTATAGGGCCTCCTATGACTCTATTTTTCTAAATTCCCAACCTATTTCGTCTTGCAATAATTGTTTTAATTTCTCTGTCCCAATTATCGATTTCGTACATTTTATCCCTTTTTTTTTTTATCGAACTTTGGTGACATGAGTGAGTGAGTGAGTGTGTGAAAAATGCCATCCAGAGGAGTGTGTGTTTATATGGGTTGTCAAATTTTTCATTCTTCTTTAATATTAAAAAAAAAGATTTTATGAAACTACTATGATAGCAAATATAGCCACTCATTAGCGAGGATTAAATTCTCTTTGTTTTTGTTATTTAATTTTATTTTGCTTTTTTTTTTATTATCAACAATAAAAAAAAAAAATTGAAAAAAAAAATATTTTATTTAGCAAAAAATTCAATTCTCTACAAATGAGTGGCTATAAAAACAGTCACTCAATCTAAGTCTGATTTTCCTCACATTCGGGGGTTTGAGAACTTGGAAAAAGTTTTTTTCTATCGAAGAAAAACTATTTCCATCATTTCTATGTTTTTTTTTTACAATTTCGCTTTAAGCCTTATATCATATGATCTCTGGGCTGCGGAAATTGCTTCCTCTGGTTTTCTTCGTTCCCTACTACTGGAGAACCAAACGAAGCTCCGCCCTTCATATTATCTCGGCCAGATGCTGGGTTAGCGTGCCATCTTGCGGTTACGTTCGTAAATGCTGACTGCATTTTTTACCTCCCATAAAGACTGGACTTCTATACTGGTCTCTCTTCTCTGTTTGTGGGCCAGGTACTTCATCTCATAATGAGATAAAGTACCTTGCCCACGATATTAGTTAAACAATCACTTTTATGGAATATTTCATAGGAGAATATTCTTAACATTACTATTAAAAGTAATTTTCGAGTAATAATATATTTGTTTATTTAATTTTTTGATCGTTTTTACGTAATTGTACGGGGAAAAAAATTGAAGTAATCATGCCGCTAAATTTTTTCATAAATCCCAACTGATAACAACAGTTAAATAGCTACTGTCGATAATACCTAGAAAAAAGATTGTTGAGACATCTATTGATAAATGACAAACTTATAATGTAAAATAAGTCTCCTGTAGACAAATTCTAGACTTCTTTCAGACTTCTTACAGACATCATGTAGATTAGTCTTAAAGACAAAATTAAGCGAGACATAGGAGTTGATATGGAGACCTCACATGTAACCGTTCAGACATCTTGCGGAGAAAGAGATCATTTTAAATGAATATTAAAGACATCTTTTAGATAACTATTTTCTACTTGGGGAGAGATCATATGGTTCTCTTTAAATTTATAATGTTGTCTCTCCTTTTGAAAGAGTTGCGATTGATATTTTGGGTCCTCTTACTAAAACTTCTTCTGGAAGTAAATTCTTTCTAGTTGTTACTGATTATTTTACTAGATGGCCTGAAGCAATTTCTCTTCATAATCATCAGGCTTCTACTATTGCTGAAGCTTTAGTTTCCCAAATATTTTGTAGATATGGTGTCCCTTTAGAAATTTATTCCGATCAAGGTAGAGAGTTTGAATCAGAGATCTTCAAAGAGGTGATGAATCTTTTTGGAATTAAAAAGACTAGAACTATACCTCTTCACCCTCAATCTAATAGATCAGTTGAAAGGTTGCATAGGACTATTCTTCAGTATTTATCAAAATTTATAAATAAAAATCATGAAGATTGGGATCGTTGGATTTCTCTATTTTTGTTAGTTTATCGTTCTTCTAGACATAAGACTACAGAATTTTCTCCAGCATTATTAATGTTAGGTCGTGAATTGAGGTTACTTTCAGATTTTTTTTGTGGAATTTCTCCTTCCGAAAATATTTCTAAGGACAATTCTATAGGTAAATATATTTTTGATCTTAGTAAAAAATTACCACTCACTCATGATTATGTGCGACATTATTCAGAAATTAAATCAGGACAACGCAAATCTAATTATGATTCAAAATTTAATATTTTGTCTTTTGACGTAGGTCAAAAAATTTTGTTTTATGTTCCTAAAAGAATTAAAGAGAAATGCCCTAGACCTCAATCATATTGGGAAGGTCCATATATTATTAAAAACAAATTAAATGATGTTGTTTTAAGAATTCAGAAAATTTCGAATGGTCGTTTAAAAGTGGTTTACAGGAATAGACTCATTCCTTAGGATGTTGATGATTGATTGTTGACTCTTCCTGGATTCCTAATTTCTGTTGAATTTAGCGTTTCGTAACTTCTAGTCTGAAAACGTTAGCTCTCATTGATCATTGAATTTTTGATTTAAACTCACAATGTCTGTCCTGGGGCGTTCTCGTGGAGTTACTATAGGATATACACGGTTGGAGCGTTTGTGTTGTTAATCTTTTTTTCATTAATGGCCAAAATGAAGTTAAATTAGGCACTAAGTGTCCATAGTATCCTATTAAGTTCTAAAAGTCGGTTGAAACTATTGAACTCATGTTTTTGAAAATTCCTTGCAAGGTGAATCATTTGTTTATTATTTTTGTGATTTTAAGAGTCTGATTTTATGAATGGGATTTGTAGTCAGTTATTAATTTGGAGAAGTATTCTCCAACAGGTGAGACTATTCAATTAAATGAAAAAAGGAATTTGAATTCAAATTAAGAATTCATTATCAATTTTGATGCTGCAGTAATTTTTAAAATCTGTCTAGATCTCCCTTGTTTTGACCTCCCAGATTCTTGGCATTTCCAGCTCTTGTGGATTTTCATTCTTTACTTCCCGGATTCTTTTCTATGGAAAGGGAGGAAGGAAAGATGAATTTTTAAAGTTTAAATTTTGACTGATGAACTCTTAGTGTTTAAGATTTTTTTTTTAAATGTATAGAGTCACGTTATTAGTTAATTTAGATTATTTTGGCCTGTTTTGGAGGTTTTTACTCACCGCAGGATTTTTCCTGCCAGAATAATTTGTTTTATTTATTCTTAAGCAGGCAGAGTTGAGAAGCAGCAATATTGGAATCTAGACTGAATGATTATTTAATTAATTTTCATAATTTCGAATTAGAAATTTAATTTCGGATTTTGCATATTAATTTATTTCAGCTAAATCCAATATTTTTACCCAGCTATTAGAAATTGCCAGGAGGCAATTTTTAGAAGATCGGGAGAACTGTAAAATGTATGAATGTCTCCATCTATGGATTGCTTGACTAACGACAGTTTGTTAGTTAACGACGATTGCTTGACGATTAGATTCATAGAAACGACGGGAGAGTTTGTTTATTTCCAGTTTTGGACTGAGACTAGCTAACATTAAACGTCTTGTCTTTGATTCTGTATTTGAATCTGTCACTTTGAATAAACTAACATTTAATATTAGTTATTCTCATTCTTTTATTTTACAATATTTATTCCCAATTCTGATAAAAATCCATATTTTTTGATTGAACTTTTGAAAAAATATTTGTGTGGCTGATCCTATTTGAATTCTTCGTTTCCTATCGAAATCTTCAGGGCACTTTAGTGAAATAAAAATTTTTTTTCCAGTAGTACTTTTCCTGTCGAAGAAGTCTATTCTTTATTGTAACTCTCTCTTTTGATGTCTTCCGATAGAAACAAGTCTAATCGTGTTAAAAAATACTTTGATAAAATAAGCAATATTAAAGTAGTATTTCCCTGTGGAAAAAGACTATTTCCTATTGAAATGGTTAAGCTTTTTCCGATAGAATATTTCTACTTTCCGCGCGCACTAAAACTGACCATTTTGGGCGTTTCGGTAAAATGTGCCGTTGAGTGCCTTTTTAATTAGTTAATATATGAAAAATATTTCTCATTATTTAAAAAATTTTAAAAAATTATAGAATGTTCAGAATCGTTTTCTAAACATTTTCCGGTTGGAATTTAAAAAAAAAATTAATTTTTTCAATTTTTTACGGTACGGTGAACGTCTTTTTTTTTCTCAACTGGCTGAAGTTGACTATAGAGCTTTGACTGTATCAAGAGACACATTGACTTTAGTAGTGTCTCATGCGCTAAGTTTAAATATTATAATGACTTAAATATGCCATAAAAACTTCTGAAAACCTTATTAATTTACTTCAGGAATAGATTAAGAATGCTATTGTCTTTCGATATTGATTACTTTAAATAATTAATAATTGGCCACGCCCCTATATACAGGATTTAAGAAAATACAGATTTATTTATCTCAAATGTACGATTTTTGGAAAGGATGAAAAAAAGATGATACTTTTACAGCATCCAATATTTCAAAGATATTATGAGGAGACGAAATAAGAAAGATTCTTTTCAATGTAAAAGAAAACATAAAAGCCACACCAAGTTTTTGAGGTATCAAATTTTTTGCAATTAAAATCACCAATTTTTTTTTCATATGATTACCCAGATAGACGAATTCCGGATTATTTACTTCAAATTTCCACAAATTTATAATCAAAATTGATTGCTAATTGGAATACCCTATTCCTGATCCATCGCTTTTCAACTGGACAGATTTAAATGACAGAATTAGAATACGAAATTAAGAATAAATGTTTAGTCATTAAATGTTATAAACACATTGATGTCTAGTGTCAGTCAATTTGAAAGCACAAGTTCTCTGCCTGCGAAAGAGGAAATTTACTGGCAACTTTCGTTCATACTGTATCTTATAATTAATTCAGCGTAGCTACAGGATTGATGGAAATTTGATGGAAACTTAGGAGCATAAAAAGGGAGTTTATTGGGCTCATGTTGGGATCATTATGGTAGTAAGAAATGATTAAGAATCAATATTTAATGAAAATACTATACTTGATTATTATTAATTAATAATTTAGAGTATTAAACTTTACATTTAGTTCAGTATGGTTTTACATTTAAAAAAAGGATAATATAATTTTATGTTATTGCTCACTGTCCATATTATCATCACTCACATGACTACTGCTATCGGATTCACTGTCTGCAATGGTACTAGGGCCCGGTTGTGGATTTTCCAAATTTGGAAAAAATAAATTTTCTTCTTCACGCCTATTGCGACGAGATTTCTTTGATTGAGTACTTTTTTTCGCAGCATTTCGCATATTTAAAACAATTTGCTTGTGGCTTTTTAAAACTGCCGGGCAACTCGACCTCCATTCATCCGAAGTAAGTTGGTTGATGTTTGAGGTTTTCTTGACCACATCTAAATCAATTAAAAAATTGTAATATATTAGTAGATGTACAATCACAATTTATATATATATATATATATATATTGGTGTATAAAAATTGACGGAAAAAAAAATTACTTACTGAAAAAAATTGAAACTAATTTAGTTTTATATAAAATCCTTTTGCCTTCAACGTTTCCTTTCGTTTTACCAGTCCAGGTAAAATTCGTCGCCAATGTTGGTGTCATTGTTGCTTGGAAATAACGATGTAGCGCATCTCTTACATTACATCCTCCAAGGAATTCTAGGTGACGTTTCTATAATTTAAGTCGTTGTTAATACATGTAGTGACATATACGTATTATTAATTATCAAATATAATATTACTTAATTAATAACATTTTTCTTACCAAAGCATTATGTTGCTGAAGTACTGGGTTGAGGATCATCTTGAAAAGCAACGTTGGAAACTGCTAACATATTAGGCTGGAGATTATCTTGTTGATCAGAAGATGTTATTTTTTTTTTCATGTATAGTTTCTTTCGATTCTCTTCTTGCAGGATATGTTGACGTATTGTAGTTGTACTAAGAGAATCTTTTGGTTTTTTTTTCCATCGATAACGAATCATAAATATGCAAATAAAAATCGAAATAGAGATTAGAAATATCTCTAACATCATTTTACTGAAAGAAAAAAACATATAATTAAACAATAATGAAACGAAGAAGCTAATTTACTACTATAATTATAATTACAGTAATTATTATAATAATTGAACAAAAAACGAGAATAGAACTATGATTTGAAGTACAAAAAGGTTATATATAAATGAAGGCTTTTACATAATGAACGCATTATAGAAAGTTTTTATTGAAATTAATGATAAATGAAAAAACTTCTGTTTATATTGTATCGTTCAAAATTTGTCGATAACTCCATAACTGCAGTTATGTTGACATGTCAACATGGCTTTCAAAGCTCTCAACATTCTCAAAACGATACACATTAATTTAGGAAATAACGCAACTGAACTTACCTCGATTGTTCGTCAAAAGATCTCATTTATCACTTTTAATTCAATAAAAGTTTATAATTCCACTGCAATGTTATTAATTATTTAATTCACTGCACGAAGTCGTGTTGTACGTACGCACAATCCACCATTTTAGGAAAAATCCGAATGAATACGAAGGCTTCCGATGAACACTGCGTTACTTTCGATTTTAAGGGATGCTGGATCATTTATCATCGGCATATATTTCTCTCGAATTTCCTATTAGTTTACGGTACTTTATGAATGCTAATTATTCTGATAATTAGAAGTCATATTGTTGATATATGTAGGCTAAACATTTCCTATATTATATGGCTCCTATTTTCCGTTAAGACTTGACATCTTATTTACAATACGCATAGCTTACATTTATCGTAAATTAAATGAGCACAACAAACGTATCAACGTTGGCGTATTAAATCATAAATATGTTAATGCTTCAAATGATGAAAATTTGAAGTACGAAATTGATGTAAATTTAGTGGAAATCCGAAGTAAATTCAATATATTAAATAAAAAGTACAGAAAGTTGACATAAAATTTCCAGAAATCGTTGTATGAATTTTATGATGATCAACCAAGTCTATCTGGGATTATTTTTTTCCGTATTTAATTTTTTAATGCAATATACTCCATCTTTTCTCGTTTTTTATTTGTTAATTCTTTTATTTGATTATCAAAAGTTATCTATGATGTTTGTTTAAAAAATACCTAACAATTTCAAATAAAATGTATTTATTTGACTTTGATAAATATAAAAGATTTTATACAAATGCAATACTTGGCGTATAATTATTTTATGACTTTTTGTAATCTTTTAAGTTACGTATATTTACGAAAATAGCATTCTCATAGAACAAAGATTATCGTCCTCATCATTTAAACTTGGCGCGCAATTTTTTATAGTTCATGGGGCTGTTTTTGGTAAGATTTAGTTATACGAATCATATAAAATCACATATAATACATGGATTATACTACGCAACATAAATGATATCCGATTTTGGTAGTTTTTTTCGGAAATCATACATACGATTCCCTATACTCTTCTATACTAAATTGAAACACCAATTATGTCGCGTAGTGTATTTTCTCAGACATGATTACGTATGACAATTTTTTCAGGGTTAGAGCGCATCAGATGTATTCTTCAGTACTGGACATTAATGCTGTTTATTTTTTTTCTGGTTATAGACGTCATTTCCCTACATCTTTCTTTACAAAATAGAACAGCATTAACATCTAGTACTATATATCATTCTAATTGTTCTGTTTTAATTAGTATATATTTTTTATAGTTGTGTATAATTTCTTTTGTTTGTATTTTCTTTCATATAATTTATCATATCATTAAATGTATTAATCATGTAACGATGTTGAATAATCGTTAGAGTTTTGATAACCTTATATTCAATACTGTTTGCTTATGTACAGGGACATATTAGGAATATTCCAAAATGTACCAGCAATGGTTGCCATGAAGGACTTATTAGTCAACCATGTTCGCAAATGTAATCATGTGGATGTAATTGTAGGATTAGAATCAAGAGGATTTCTTCTTGGACCCCTGCTTAGTTTTGAGTTTAACAAACCATTCGTTCCCATAAGAAAGGCTGGAAAGTTACCAGGAAATGTTAAGCAGGAAAATTATTCGATGGAATATGGAGAGGTGATTTAATTTTATTTATTTATTTTTACAAAGTATTATTTGAGAACATCTGTATAGTTTAGAGACAGTCCCATGTATCCAACGTATTATTTGAGCCACTAGTCTATGTATAAGGTATTATTTGAAGACACGACGTTGTCACGTTGTAATGAATTTATATAGATTTATTTAAATATAATATTGATTGTTATCGAGCATTGTAAATATAAATCAATTACAACTTTCAAATGTGTAGAATGCATTTTTCATTACTTATCGAATGGATTAATATCCATTTGGTCTTTTGAAGAAACATTAAATATAAGTATTTGAAATTCTTAAACTGTCTCGAAAGGTACTACATTCTTATTAACCAAACTTCCGTCCCAGTTCTATACCTTTTTTATTCTGATCATAAGTCTGTGACTGTGTAGGCATCCTATCATTACCCAAAATATAGCCCAGAAGAACGCTCTAGAACAATCATTGTAGTTTTAAAGCCAATAATTAAAAGGTTTATAAAAACCAACATTCTTATACTGAAAGTTATTCCCTGAATTCGAAAGAAATTCGGAATTTACAAACAGAGTCTAAATAATCAATTATCCTCGTAATGAGTGAGTCTATTTATATAAACAACTTTCAAACGACCATTCGGAAATTTATGAATTCGAAACACAACATTATTAAGTTTGTTGTTGATGATATACAGACCTTCCTACCCACATTACAGTTTCAGTCATTTCCATTTCATTTATTCCAATCGATCTTGGAACGATTTTTTAGTACAAGATTGACAAAACTTAAAAAAAACTTCGAATAAAAGTATTTAATTGATAATAATGTAAGACATAGGAAAACAGAAACAAATCCACTTTTCGATACTATGCAAAGCAATCGTTTGAGATTGATTGGAAAAAATTCTGTAATACCGACAAATTGGCATGATAACTGTGAGATAGTGAGCACGATCTGTTTCATTTTTTGAAATCGAATATCTCGAAAAATAGGCGAAAAATAAGAAAAGTGTTGTTACAGAAATCTTTATTAGACGGTAAAAAACCAAAAGTGTCCTACGAAGTATCGTCGATTTCTGTATAATTGAAAAAGTTATTAATGCAAATGTGTAGACTCTAGTAAGAAAAAATTGTTTATAACAAAAAAAACTCAATTTTGCGTACATTTCTTTTCACCTGCGAATTTTTTTTTTAGAATTCCCGTGTAATTTTACTTAAAAAATATCAGTGCTCTGCAGTGGTCTGGGTGCGACCCGAAAGGTCCACACGACCAACTTCCGAGTGGAAAAAATAAAAAAAAAAACACCCCGAATATAACCCGTTTTTATTCTTTATAACAAATGAAATTGTTATAAACGAAATGAGTGTGTTTTTATTTATTTGATATGGTTAGTCACTTCATTTTAGTAAAAGAAAAAATTATGCGTTAAAAGTACTCATATATATAGCATGGATCCCTATTTTTATTGTTTATAACAATTTAAAACTATACAAGTATTCTAATCATTTAATATTCATATTTTTAAAAAATTTTGAAGTTTTGTCTAAAAAATAGTATAACTTATAAATTGCAAAATTCAGGTCGTTTTCCATTTTTGCTAGTTTCTTGGCTCTGCAACAAAAATGGCTAGACCGATTTTGCTGAAAATCTAATCAGTTCTAAGTTATGCAATTACGTGTCGAATGCAGTTAGTTCCACGTCGATATCATTTTTTGTTCTCGAGATAATCGACCAGGAAAATTCCGAACGAACGTACCCACTTACGCACATACGTACATACACACACAGACGTCCACTGGGAAACGGTCATATTTGACTCTGGGGACCTTAAAACGTGGATATATGTCAAAATTTGGGATTCGCAAAATCAGATCCATCACTATAACTTCCCACTGGAAATAAAACTCAATCTATTTTATAACAAAATACAATTGCCTAAGCACACAAATTATATTAATATAATTTTCTCATAGACATATGATACTTTATTTAGAGGTGTTCTAACTTGGTCAGGGGTATTCTTTGGACAGCCTGACATTTTTATCCCCACCAACTAAGTTGACAACTCAAGGTCTCTCCTGCCATCTTATCTACGCCAATTAGACTACTCTAATTAATTCCTTGGCGTTGATATCCCTCCTCAAGGACCCAGAAGCTTCTAGAACGCAGACTTTTCGAGAAAAACAGTCTGTATTAGTCAGTATTTGCCGGTTACTGCGAGTATTCGTACTGAGTTTGTACTCGGACGACTCTTGGGCATCATCGGACGATGCCAACCGACAGACAACTCCTTGTATCAGTCAACTCGGTACGTGTGTACTAGCAGAGAGCTCACGCAGTCGAACTCTCTAGTGAAAACCGAGACAACTCCTCAGAATATTTCTCAGAAATGGAATAATTCACCAGTTAATCATCTATGGTGATGATTATGAACTCATCAGGTAGTCTAACTCTCAAAAGACATCATCAGTGAGCTCGCGTTGGTCCGCATCAGCACCTTCTTACAAAAGGCGCGAACGATGTCGGCTTCGACGCCTCACGGCCTCATGGACAGACACACACACAAGATCCACACACGAACAACTCGCTTGTTTCTGTGTGGCTGACGCCATTACAATGAAACTGAGACTACTTAAAAAATCCAGACGACTCCTGGTGCAGAGACCGGTACAGGAAAACTTAAAACTTTCCTGTGATCTTCGACTCATCAGTGAACTCAATACTGTACCGACATTTCAAAGACTTTGTTTTTCAGTGAACTCATCTCATATAATTATCAGACAGACTCTCTTCTTGTTATTTTTCTGTTACTGTTTCTTTTGTGGCTAATAAATCGTTAATTGGTACTGTTAATTGGTGTCAGCCGATTCATTTACGACGTTCAAAAGTCCAGACTGTTCTAGCATCCAAATATCCTAAAAAATTCAGTCCATAAATTCCTGACTTCTCCTTCAGCCAACTCACAGTCAGAACAAAAGGATTGTATTATAATTCGTCAGCAAAAAGTTGGGAGCTACAGGCTAACTCAACAAGCGATTTAGTGTTAAGTTAACAGATTAAATCTAGACTTAAGAGAAGCAACATCTCTGTTTTTTTACTTCTACAAATATTTAATAAATCACTTAAATAAACCCAACTTCACAGTGTCAAAAATTGATTTATTACAACTAGTGTCAGAAGTGGGATTGCTCGAAGATAATACGAAAGTTGATTGAGTAATCAAATTTAATTTCGAATCAAGAAAATGGTGACAAATTGGTGCGATTTATGAACTGCTGGTTACTACAGGCGTTTTATAGAAAACTTCAATGATATAGTCAAATCGATGACTAGTTTATTAAAAAAAAAATGCTAGCTTTCAATGGACAAGCACACCACAACAATCATTCGAAATAATAAAGAATCAACTTATCTCCGAAACAGACCTCATATATCCCAATTTCATAAAGGAATTTATTCTCTCTACTGATGCAAGTAATTTTGCAATCGGTGCAGTATTATCTCAAGTACGTGGCGTTATGGACAAAGATAAAGAAATTCGAACTGATTTACCAATTGCTTATGCTAGTAGAATTTCAAACATTGCGAAGACAAACTATTCTATTATAGAGTGTGCATTACTAGCTATAGTTTGGGCTGTTAAACATTGTCGCTCTTATCTTTTAGGTAGAACGTTTCGAATGGTCACTAATCACTAACCTTTGTCTTGGCTATTGGGAGTCGAAGACCCTAGCTTTAGATTTCTCAGATGAAGACTGAAACTAGAGGAGTATGATTATGAAATTCAATACAAGCCAGGTAAGAAAAATCAAAATGCTGATGCACTCAGCCGTAAAACACCACATCCTGTTCAAACTCAAATAAATATTAATCAAATCCAATCATATGGTTCACATGAAAACTTCTTAGCATCTTTAGAGTCGACAATCATCACCAATAATCAAGTAAAAGAATACGATGAAATTCTTAAATCATGGGACGACAGTCGCGTAATATTTATCTCTGAAGATTTAAATTTCAATAATAACAAAGTTGACATTAGAACGCATTTTGGAAAATTAAAAGAGATAAATCCTAAAATACACGATGTTGTTTCATTACTATTCAGGAAAATGTAATTATGCTACACTACAAAATAACGAGACATTTTATTTGTAAATTCGGACTATTGGAGGAAATACTAACCGATCAGGGAAAAGATTTTACCTCATCTTTGTGAAAAGAAGTTGCAAAATTGTTCAAAATAAAACAAATCCAAACAACGACTTATAACCCTCAATTGAATGGTGCATTAGAGAGAAGTCATGCCACCCTTGTCGACTACCTGAAACATTTCATAAATAGTAACCAAACAGATTGGGATAAATGGATAGATTTTGGAGTGTTTGCGTATAACACTACTGACCATTGGTCCACAAACTTTTCACCCAATGAATTAATCTTCGGGCATCGGGCTATTTTACCAAGCGCTATTACTAAGCCTGTCGAATTTAGGTACACATATGATGACTATATTGACGACTTGATCTACAAACTACGCAGATCACACGAGATATCTCGGAAAAATTTAATAAGTTTTCAACAACGAAGTGAAATTTATTACGACATAAACTCACGTAAAGTAACCTATCGCGTAGGTGATATGGTATTTATTACAAACGAACAATTTCCCAGGTCAAAAAAACTATCTGCTCGTCACAATGGTCCTAACGAAATCGTGAGAGTAGATTCTCTTACAAACGTTACCTTGAAAATCAATAATAACAATGTCACAGTTCTGAAGATCGAGTCAAACTTGCAAGTTATTCAAAAATATAATTGTTACAGCTTTGCACTCCCGGGGCTCGCTCAGTACCAAATTTACAATCTCGACCACAACTCTGGAATTTACTACGATGAATTAGGAAAAATTGGTCCCTATGACAATACTTGGAAATTGGTAACGTACCTGGACACTTCACGCCATGACAGAAATAAAACCTCGTTGAAAACATTTTAAGCCAAACTAAGCTATTATGCAAATCAAATCCACTATACGCTTGTCATACCTCTCTGCTACTATTAGATCAACTATCTTCCGAATTAAAGAAAATGGAAACAGAGTTAAAACAATTATTGGACACTAACCGAGTGAAACGCGGATGGTTCGATGCCATTGGAACTATCTTTAAGACCATTACAGGGAACCTCGACAACAACGACGCACAACGTTACGACTCAATGATATCTTGACTACAAAAAGACGAACATGAATTAGCAACAATACTTAAATCACAAATTCAGGTAGTCAGTACGACAATCGCAAATTTTAATGAAACTGTAACTAATTTTCGCCGTAGCAAACAGATTTTAAATGACAATCTTGAATCAATGAGGAAATTTATGACTGATTATTCTATATGAACAGTACACATGGAGACAAGAATAAAAGTTGGAAGTCATTTGTCTTATCTATTCCTACTATATACAGAATTACGTAACAAACTAAATACTCTTTTAAACTCAATCTCATTTTCCAGAAGTAATATGTTACATCCGAGAATAATAAGTCCTGACCAGTATATCAATGAGCTGAAAAAGACGATAACACATATTCCTCTAGATTATCATTATCCCTACATGCCGGATAACGCAAATGCCCATTCACTCTTGAGTCTTTTTACATTACAAACTTATTACTCCGAATATCGAATTGTATTAATTATCAATACACCTCTAGCACGTGACACCCTATTTATTTTATACAACCTCATACCTCTTCTTTCACTACGTAATTCGAGCCAGTATGTTTTTACCCAGCCATCACACAAATATCTACTTGTCTCAGAAACAAAAAATCAGTACCCCTGGATTGAAGACGTATCATATTCTAAAGGCTCTGATTCACAATTTTATATATGTAAATTATCATACCCAATCTACTCATTTTTTCTACCTCTTTCTTGCGAAATAGAATTATTATCAGTGAAAAATAATATTCTAAAAAATCGCGATACTAGAATCGTATAAATTACCAATGAAAAATGGTATAAACTGAAGAATAAAAATTTTTGGATCTATATATCACCATTACTAATTTCTGTTACTATTTCTTGCATATCATGCGAAGTAATTGATACTCGCCTTTAAGGAACTTGAATTTCTGAGTTGAGACCACATTGTAAAGCTTATACGCCAGTAACGTTACTTGCTGCGGAAAGCTCTTCCATGAGTAATTATACTATAAAAACCCTTCCTTTTAACATCACCCAAGACGACTGTTGCGATAGAAAAAATTCTACCCCTTTTAGTATACCTGTAATGCAACAGCTACCTGAAACAGATGTTAATTTAGACAATTTAAATATTGCTAGCCATAAGTTAACTGTAATATCAAGTATGATAGACGACTTAGAGAAACGAAATATATTAGATTATAAGGTATCTGTTTTCACGCACATTGGTTATGTTATATGTATTATGATTATCTTATATATTGTTCTTAGATGTAGACACACTGATCAAAACGCGAACGGATGCTCTAAATTTCTAAACTACCTGACTTTTAACATTTTTAACAGTTCCGAAATAGGAAGGAAACCTAGCTCTGTAGATGTACCATTAGAGCCTTTACCGAGTCGATCTTCTGAATTTGGTCCTGCACCAAAACCACGAAAATATTTACGCTCTATTGGTGTAATTAAAGACAAAGTGAATATTGAACATTACTTTTATCTTAAGGAGAGAGGTGTTATGATTATTGTAAAACCCTCCACATCGAAATTAAACTTAATCTATTCTATAACAAAATGTAACTGCCTAAGCACATATGTTATATGACTACAATTTTCTCATAGATATAAGATACTTTATTGAAAGGATTATATTATAATTCGTCAGCAAAACGTTGGGAGCTACAGGCTAACTCAACGAGCAATTTAGTGTTAAGCAACATCTCTGTATTTTAACTTCTATAAATATTCAATAAATCACTCAAATAAACCCAACTTCACAGTATCGAAAATTGATTCATTACAACTATTCACAATTAATAATCATCATTATTTATTAATTTAATTACAGCTAATTTTTTTTAGGCTACATTCGAAGTACAAATGGATACCGTGAGCAATGGAAGAAACATATTGATTATTGATGATCTTTTAGCAACCGGAGGTATGATATTATTGACTGCCAATATATAAGATTAATAAGATACATATCATGTTTCAAAGAGATCTATAACAATTTAGTTTAATGCTGCGAGAAATACAAGATTTGAATTACCGTACACAGAATTATTTTAATACTCACAATTTTTATTCTCTTTTGATTTTATTTCTTATAGTAACGTTTAGTACTAATGACAACTGTTCATGATAGAATATTAAACCAAATACTTCTGTAAATGATCAAATATTCTTAATTCACTCGAAATATTCCAATTCTCATCTTTTACAATAAATCAATAAAAACTGAACAAAATTTTGGTTTCACTCCAATAAAGGTTTTTTTCCTAGTTAAACATTATAGTTAAAACCAATACAATCTTATTAAACCCTATAGAGATTGGATCAGATTTCGTATAATTTAATAAGGTTAATTGTGTTGAGACAAAAGCATAAGAACACTATTTCAATCTATAAACGACATCGGGTCGTTATCTCATAAAAATTTTCAAAAACTTTTTAAAGGAACATCAAGCCTATGATTGTTTTGATGTAAAATTATACTACTGTTAAAGTATAATTCGTGAGTAATTACCACGAGATTGTATAATTGTTAATCATGATTTTGTATGGATTATTAATTTCCAAAAGATTGCATGGTTATAAAAAATTTTCTTGATTCTACAATGCTAAACATGATTAGGTTTTCTGCACAATTATACAAGAATAATATTATTATAGGATCAATGGCCGCTGCAATTCGATTGTTGAAATCCGCTGGTGCCAATGTAATTGAGTGCCTTGTAATCGTAGAATTAACTTATCTTCATGGACGGTCAAAGCTCCCAGTTCCTGTGCATTCATTCGTTCAATATAATTAATCAATACACTTGTGTAAATATTAATTATTCGAACGACGGCATAAATTAACGACGACATAAAAACATCAAAGTAGACAAAAAAATTTTTTTATCAATTTTTATTTCAACACATTTATAAAACATCTATTTTTTATACACAATATTGTATTTTTTGTACTCAATAAATATTGTGGAACAAACAAAAAAAACAGTAACGTGAATATTGTTTACTCTTTTAGGGGGATTATAACGATAAAAGGTTTGTGTTTTTACTATATTAGAAGACGAGACTATGATGTTCTTAAGATCTTCTCTTTTTATTCTGGTCCATCGATTAATTTTGGATTCACTGAGAAATATTCAACTTTTTGATCCAGGAATTTACAATAAACTGAAAACTCTCTGGTGCATAATATCTAATGGTACTTATTTTACAAAAAAACTAAAAAGTATAATTAAAAAATTGTAATTACAGACATCTCTGTTATAACCCTACGTAAACATTTCGATTGGGAAAAAATTTCCATGGAAAAAATGTGTTGGAAATTTTCTGTTAAAACCTATTGAAAAAAAATTTTTGATTTCCCATTAGAAGTTATTGTAATTGGCTCGATAAGTGAAATTTTAATTTCCATCATTTCTCCACGTTTCGAGATATTTACAAGTATACTGACCAATTTAAAGAATGATGTGTGTCTGTACGTACCCTGCTTAAACTACCCTGTTGAAAAACAAAGTTTCAATGGGAAAAATGCATAGAAAATTTCCTGTAAAATCCTTTTAAAAATTATTTTCCTTTTAGAATCGGTTGAATCCTATTGGACTATCCTATAGAATAACATAAAATCCTTCTAGATGTTTCGATTGGAATGAAAACATTTCTACAAAATTATAATATTTTTTATGTAATCCTTTTCATTACATACGTTTCAATTTAATATTTTTTTTGCACGGAAGTCTTTACGAGGAAATGAATAGAATATAATCGATCGATTAGAAAACTGTAATCCCGATAGTACCGATAAATCGGCGTGATTATCAGCAAAAATAGCTGTCACTGGAAATAATTTTTTTAACTTTTTGAGATAACAAATCTTAAAAATAAAAATGAATTTAAAAGAGTGAGGTGACTTAAATATTCCTTGAAGTATAAGAAAAAAATTTAATGAACTAACACTAATGAACACTAGAAATACACACTGAGTCCGATGAATGCGTTGAGTACACGACAACGTGGATTGTAAGGCCACGTTGTACACTTAAGTCCGTTGAGTTCGACTGAATGCTGATTTTTTGGAATATTGAGTGATAATGAGTGCACTGAGTTTTTATTATAAAGTCTATGAATTACTGAGTTGAATTCGTGAGCACTAAAATGAGAAAAATGAGCAGTCGCGACTGAATGAGTGCGTTGGATGAGTAAAAAAGAGTGCACGAGATAATGAGGAACAGTCACGCGTCGGATGAATGCTCTTAAGCAACTGATGGACAATCGAAGTGCAACAACAAATTTATTGTCATCAGGAAGTCGACAGCGTTCACGGCCCTTACTTGGTTCGCGTTATGAGTGCGCTGATAGGTTGTCAACTGAGTAAAAGATTCAAATAATCAATTCAACAATCGATTAGTGAACAGATTGTTTTCAAGTCAGCAAATAGTATAATAATTGTAGCATGAAAGGTACTGTTCTGCTGTGAGTGTAACAGGACAGGACTTTTCTATACGTTGCATTTCTCTGTAAACTTGATCCAACATTGAAAAAACTAAGAGACATCGATTACTGAACAACTTCAATCAACATTTATTCGGAAGATATTATAAAGGAGATCTGAGCAAAATTTAAACGAATTCGTTCAAAACGATTTCTTTATAACGAAAAAATAAATAATAAATAAATGAAAAGACTAAATATTCAAAGTACTTTTAAAAACAAATATTGACGGATTGAGTCAATCTTTAAACGATTCACCATCTTTGGAGTTAAATTGTGAAATGAAACTTTTTGGTTTTTCTTAGACAAAAATTTATACATCAACATAACCTTACTTGACATTGTTAATTATTCCATATTGATTTTTGAATGTTGTGTATAGAGTAAAATTTGAGGATAAAAGTTTTTAGCTTTTATTATATTGAAATAGATAATTGAATATAACCACACTTTTGATTTATAATTCGAAATTGTTTATTGAGTGTTGTTGTTTTCAAAGTAAAATGACAGGGAAAAAATATTGAGAGCTAACCAATATTACTTGTTAAACTCTATTATTTCGGGGTAAAATTGAAAAGTAAAAATTTCAAACGTATATTTCTATGAGATTTGATCATGTAACATAATCTCAGTTTAAACTTTAACTTTGTGATCATTGGGGTAAAACTGTGGAGTTAAAGTTTTTAAGCGTTTACTGACATACAAATTCAAAATGTACTATAAGCTCACTCTCAATCACAAATTTGAAATGCTATATTCAAGTCTTAATGCTGTCGGGCTAAAATTGTAAAGTACTATGTCTCAAATTTATTTTTCAACGATATTGTTAACATAAACAGATCTTATTAACGACTCAGAGGTCATTATCCTCATCCGGTAATTATCTAGCTAAGCTTACACCCCTCCGATTTCGTTGAAATTTTAGTATGTTATTAAAGTTTATGGCCCTGGTGCCACCGCTTCCAAGTACCAAAAGACTTCACTTCGAAGATTCGGGCTTCTCGCTTTTCGGGAATCACCTAGATGGCTCTCTAGAAAAACTCTCAGGAGATTCAAACATAGAGTGCAAAGCCAGTTCCTCGAAAAAAGGAAGGCCTTTAAAAAATAAAAAAACGCTTTTAATCACAGACATCATCGTAAAACTAACCCCAGCCAGACAACATTACGAAGAGAAGAAAGAGGAGTTTCCCCTCACCTTTGAGCGCACCGGCTAACTATTTGTAAATGCACATGGAAAATCGAAGGTCTCAGAAATTGTCACAAGATTCACTAAAGATAGAGCAGCAATCATCCACATGCCAAATGGCATCTTAGTGTATGTGAGTGATAAATACATGCTAAAAAAATCACGAGAATCATTAGCAAGCTTAAGGGCAAACTCGTCGACGGAAGTACCACGGATGACAACAGTGTCAATGACTCATATTTCTTCAACAATGGCCAACTACGACATTTCGATGCTGATTAAAATAGTATACTGTAACACTAGGAGCATCAGAAAGCGTCGCAACAAACTTATAGATCGTGCTCATTCTTAGGAAGGGGGAATTCTGTTTCTAATCAAAAATAATTTCAGATATCAAGGGATTAAGAATCTTAACTCTTCTCACCAAACGGTAGAAATTGGTGGGGTAGAAATAATCAACACTTACCCGCCTACAAGTTAAGTCGCAGTCTATTAAGCCTCAGATAATTCTGTCTCCGAGGTTCAGTGGGATATGATTATTCACAACACTGCTGCGTTCGAAAACTGTGTTGTGCTCGGGGACTTCAACGCCTATAATAAAATTTAGAACTGTAGAATAACTGAGAACAATGGTAAGAGTCTACTATCAATCTCGCTGATAAAATAGACCTTGAGGCGTGCGACGAAACGTGGGACTCAGACCACTATCCATTTGTAATAAGATTATATATAGATAAAAATTCATACTCTAAGAAAACGTTCAAACTAACGACTACTAAAACTAACTGGTCAAAATAAAATCTCTTTTAGAAGAATCCTACTTTTCCTTTCTCTCTGTTGAGTTCGAAGAGCTATCACTGACTAAAAAGTACGAAATTTTTATGAGTAAGGTTGAAGAAAGTGCTGCCGCCGTCATCTAAGGTACTAAAAAACACTTCAAGATAATAGAGGCTAATTGGAATAATTCTCGTAACATAAAAAGATTGAACAACGCTGTCTTTTGGTGGGACAAGGAATGTCTGAAGGTCGAACCATCAGAACGCGCGGCCTTTCGTAAGTGGGAACATACGGGTGAGATGGTAGATTCAATTGAGTACAAAAGAAGGTGTGCGGTAGCAACTCGAACGTTCATCGGAAAGAAAAGAGATAATCGCAGAGAGTTCGCCAGCAATATTAACTTCGAAACAAATGCTCAATATGTATGGAACTGTTGAGGTTTAGACTTTGTCGGTGACGACATCTTTGAGTGTTGTGAAGTGCATGAGGCCCACGACACTAGCTCTCCCTTCCGGTTTGTAGGATTGTTCTCTGAACGCTATTACTCACTCTTTCGTAAAGCTTCTTGGTGTCACGACGCGTTCATTCCGTATTCATAAAATATCTGTATTCTGGTTTATTTATATAAACATTATTTTAGTGATTATTAGAGTATTGTTTAGAGTGTTGAATAAACTTAGTTTTGAATAATAATTGTGTCTTTAATTGGCTCAATCAAGTACTCCCTGACCTCCCATTCTAATAGGTTATAGGCCTATCACGCTTTTAAGATAAAACTTTTTTTTTGTGATTTTCAATTTGGTTTGACTAATTATAAAGTTCAGTGAAATAGTTTTTGTAATATTAAAGACACTTTTGCGCTAACAAATTTGGAGGAAACATTAGAGGATTCAGAGGTAAGTGATAGTAGTTTTCTAGAACATTTAAATAAAGAGTTTCTTGAATTTAGAGTGTTTCTTTTAGAAAAAATGATAAACAATAGTAATTAGAATGATATTTGTGATTCAATAAATTCAGAAAATTAGAGATCGTGAAATTGGTAGCGTCTTTGTTAAAATATGACGACACATTTCGAAGAAACCGAGCCAGTGTGAGTATTGCATGCACGTTCGAACGTGTTCGTTGGCGGCACGCTCGCGCGCGCGAGAAGAGGGCTTTGTTTACAAGTCGTTTTCTCGTGGTGCGTAGTTTGAGCATTGCTTATGCTTACGACATAAAACGTTCTTTTGTTTCTTCTTAGAAGAAAATACGCGTTATAAAATGAAATAAATTTTTTTTAGAAGATAGATGTTTAATCAAATTAAACTAATAGAAGTATTTAGAAGATAGATGTTGAATAAAAATTGAATAAATAAGCACATTAATTATAAATAATATTTATTATGGAAATTATTTAAAGGATTTTCTTTAGATAATTAAATTAATTAGATAATATAATTAGAGATTTCAGTTTTAAGATCGTTGAGAGATTACAAATTATATGTTTGATAAATGCAAACAATAGCACACCGAGAGGCTCATTATTATCATCATTATTTTCTCCTCTCCTCTTCTCTTTATAATGATTACTATGATTGAAAATAAAATAGAGTAATTAAAATAGAGTTAGAAGTTTTGAGTTTTTTTTTAGAAGAATTTAGAATAAATGATTTTAATTAAATTTTTTTTGACATAATTTAATAAATAAAAATTCCCGCAATATGATCAGCCGGTAAATTAATGTGTTCTGTAAGAAAATATTCCGGGGCTATCTTCGCAAGACATTCGCTGTGCGGTGTCAAACGTTTGGTAGCTAGGGATATCGAAGGACTCGGATTGGTATCCCGTACGTGTGCATGGCCAACCTATTTCAACCGGTCTTCATTGCCGTGCGTGAAGCCAAAGTTTGAAACAAAGGGGTGCACGTGCGTGGTGGCGTTGTTCGAGGACTGGATGTCTCGTTTCGAATTACAATAAATTGTTGTACGTTTATTGCGATTCAGAAGCACGAAATAAATTCTTTATCAATTTTAAATAAAAATAAACCTGGTTTTAGATGATTTAAAAGAATATTAGAGAAATTTTTAACGATTTTAAAGATAATTAAAGAAACTTTAGATGATTCTAGAAAATATCAGAGAAATTTTTGATCCTTTAAAGAATATTAAAGAAAATTGATACAGAACTAGAAGATTTACATAGAGTTAGAAGTTTTTTCATTGCATATTACGAGTTATCATCGTTTTATTTTATGAGTTATAATTGACATGATGATTTTACTTTAGATAATTTGTTTCAAAAGCCCGAAATAGATAGCAGAGAAACAGAAAATAAGTCTCGTCGACTATAAAAGTGATGAATAAGAAGTTGCTGAAAGATACGACTCTCCAGAACTAGTAATAGAGGAAGAAGAGGTTTTAGAGGAACCTGACAAGAAAGAAATAGATGGTAAGTTTTTTTAACAATTTACAAAATAAACATCAGTTATTATGATTTCTTGTTCTGATTCTCTGCTGAATGAATTAATAAACAGAGGCTGTTAAAATTATTAGAAGTCAGAAGTTAGATTGATTTAGAGATAGAGATCGAAGGCCTAATCAAATAGAACTAGAGAAAATCCAGGTTATTAGAGCAAAATTTTTTTTGATTTTACAGCCAAAAACAAAGAGCAGAAGAAGTTAAAAATAACAGAAGATGTGACAATTAAAACACCTAATCGTCACGAATTCCTGTTCAAAGCTGCAGAGGAACTAAGACAGAAGCAGCAAATAAGTCAAGTTGAGAAGCTAGCCAAAATTAGTAAACAGGCAGCTAACTCAAACAAAATCGCAGTTTAAAAGCCTAATCCTTGAAGCAGGTGATGTTGATGGCCAGAGATATGGTCAATACTCTGGCTCAAACATCCAAAGATAATCGAGAGGCACAGAGGATTCGTTATGAATCACTGAAGGTTGGTAAAGAACATATTAAAAAATTTGATTTATTAGAGAACACTAGAGCTAAGAGAAAAACTGTAGATTTAGAGTTATAGAACGGTGACATTGAATGTAAGAGAACAAAACCCACCAAAAACCCAGAGGTAGAAGCTGAGAATGTAAAACAATCACAAAGTCATTTTGATTCAGAAGCACAAAATGTAGTCACAACGAAGAGCGTTGAACAAGAGTTTTTAGGGACTAAATTAAATATTAAGAGAGACTCCAAACTAAAACAAAACATTAACTTTGATGTTTGGTTAGATTACTTAAAATCTGAATTAGATAGTAATGATTTACTAGAGGTTATTGAGCCAACTGTAAAATCTAATTAAAACTACTCAGAATCGAGTATAGCCAAAAGAAAGAGATTAGCTAGAGACGTAATTATTAATAGATTAGATAAAAAATATCACGAAATCATCATAAATATTAGAGATCCTATAAAAATTTTACAAAAACTTAGAAGTTCTAGAAAAAGTGAGGTGAATGTAACTCATACATCATTAAGAACTCGGCTATATGCCACTAGAATGAGTAAAAATGAATCTGTAAATAATTTTTACGAAAGATTTAATGCAATTGTTAGAGAATACGAAGTATGTGAGAATATACTAGAATTGACGCCACAAAAAGTTCGATCAGCATTTTATCAGGCTGTTTCTTCAGCTATTCCTGAAATAAGGAACGCAGACTTATTAAAGAAACAAACAACTGGTCAGAAAATGACATTTGATAAAATAAAATCATATATTTTACAGTTAGAGGCAGAGAAAAATCTGAAACCAAAAAAAGAGGATGAGCCCAAAGCTCAATGGGTTCATAACCCAAATGCAAAAGAGAGCAAGTGCCACGGATGCAACAAATTTGGGAACTGGATGAGGGATTGTCCACTCTCACATCAAAACAAATGGTTCTGCTACTACTATCAAGCCATTAAAGACCATAAAGGGGATGACTGTCCCACAATTAGAGGTAGAAAAAACCGGTACATTGATAAAAAGTTTAGAAGAAACATTAGAGATAAAAGTCAATGCAATGTTAATTCTAAAAACAAGAGAATCAACAATAATAATAAAAATGTCCTAAAAATTGCTAAGAAAAATTAACATTTTAGAGAAAAAGAGCTTAAGAGGAAGCCCAAGGAGGAAACCAAAAGAGCGTATAGAGCGAAAGAAATGCGGGTCAGGGACATCAAAGTGACACACGTAAGAGCAATTATATTAATTTCATTGCCGATTCGGGAGCAACTGATCCCATAATCAATGATGACATGATTCTTAGTAACTTCAAAAGTGTAATAATAAAATAATTCAGAGTGCAAAAAATCGCCAATATAATAATAGATGGGAAAGGAAACTTACTTTTATATACAGATTGAAGTAAAGAAAACATAATTAAACTAGCAAATGTATTTGCATCTAAAGATATTTCTGGAAAATTGTTATCATTGCGTAAACTGGTGGACTCAGGGTTTCGAATTTACTTAGATGATAAAGATTAAAAAAAAATAGTTTTAGAGGCAATTTATGAAAAACCAAATTGGACAATAAAATTTAGAGTTAAAAAACAAGAGCAAAATCAATTAGAGAATAAAATAGAGTATGAAGTATATTGTTGTCGAGCTGCAATACATAAACATGATGAGATTCCGACACAATCACAGAATCATAATTAGGACAAAAAGACAGTAGAGTGGGAGGGAGATATTGATAATAGAAAGATTATAGAATCCAAAACTTAGAAGATATATACACAAGTAACCCTCTAGAGAATAATAATAATTGTACAGAGAAATTTAATGAAGCAATGTTATGGCATGTTAGACTAGGTCACACATCATTAAATAACTTAAGAAAACTACAGAAGATTAATAAAAAGATGGAGAAAGTAAAATTTGATGAGGCCATACTAGAATGTGAAGTCTGTATTATGTCAAAGATGCAGAAATTAACCTTTAGAGAGACTAGAAAAAGAACTGAAAGGCCACTTTAAATTATACATACGGATACGAATAATGAAATGTAGGGAATCTTCCACCCTTGGCTTGCTTTCGTGATTTAGTTAGTTAATAAATTCAGTTTAGAGTGTTATAGTTTAAATTATAAGAGATATTGATGATTTTGCTTCGGGTTTTAGAGTCATTTATAAGATGAAAATCAGTGTATTTGAGATTAGAGCCGTTAGATTAAGGTTAATTAATATTTAAATTTTAGAAACGATAGGTAATTATTTAAACTTGTTCCAGAATTCGAGTTAGAATTATTTGTTTATAAAATATTGTTCTTTATTGATGATGCAGAATCGTTACAGAATGATTTATGATTTTTGTTAATTGGATAATGAATAAGAAAATTGATTTTGTTTTAATAAATTAAGCATTAATTGATAATTGGTATTTGAATAATTAGTAAAGAAGAGCCTTCAACTCTAGTTTGTTTATTTAACAATTTTGAATACTTTTGTGGGGTTCAACCGAGGATTATTGCCAGCCCTGACCCTCTCTCCACAACCCACATAACTGAGCTCCAGGAGATCCCCTGTCAGGACCTCTTTACCAGCAGCATCTTAATTAAGTTTAGTCTAAGATTTCGTAATTAGTTTTAGGATTTTTGAGAATTGTGAGAGTTTGGTTGGATTTTGATTTAAGGTTAGTTGTAAGTTTTGGTCTAGGTTTAGTTTTTTTTTTGGGATTAGATGTAAGTTTTGCCAGTTTAGTTATTCTGGCGATAAAAATAACTTGGCGCCCGTCGTTTATAATGATTATAAGCGAACCAGGGATGTTAGCTGATAAATTAGTGTCCTGGAGGAAGGTGAATACTGAGTACACCTACCCCAGTGGAAAAGTATCGTCACAATATAAAGGATCCAAAACCAGATTTGAAGTTTGAAGAGCGAGCCATAAAAACAGTCCTGGTAGGCTATACGCCAACAGGATATGTGTTTTGGCATCCAAGTTCAGGGAAGTTTTTCGAATCGAGACATGTTAGAATTAATGAGAAACTTGTTTACAAGAACAATAATTTAGAGCAAAACATAAAAATAGCACCCAAAATAGAAAACAAACTTGATTGGAACTGGATAAAAGAGTTTAAAGAGAAAGTCCAAAAGGAACAGGAACCAGAAAAACCTGAACCCAAGAAAAGAGGAAGACCGCGCAAGAAACAATCAGATATAAAGGATTCAGTAGAGAAAAGAGCAGAAAAGAATATAAGTAGACCAAATACCAGAAGTCAAAATAAAAGAAAATTAGAGAACAACGAGAAAGTTCAGCAGGTCAAGAGATACATAGAAGATACAAGCTTTATTAGATTCATAAATACTTTGGAGGATAATTCGGAAGAAGTCCTTAAAAACAAACATATAGAAGAAGATGAAGAATTAAGATGTCTCATAGCTTTAATCAACAAAGAACCTGCAAATTTTAAAGAAGCTATGAGATCTAAAGATGCAACTTTGTGGAACAAAGCAGTGAAAGAAGAACTGGATTCTATAAATGAAAATAGAGTGTGGAAATTGGTAGATAGAGAAAAAATAAAATTAAAAAATAATAGAGCTAATATAATAGATTCAAGATAGGTGTTTAAGAGGAAATCAGAAGCTAATGGATCTATGAGATACAAAGTTCGATTAGTTATCAGAGGATTCAAAGATAAAAGTAATTATGATCTAAAAGTGACATATGCACCAGTTTCTCGGCTACCAGTAATTAGAGCTGTAATAGCAATAATAAATAAATATGATTTATATGCATGTCAATAAGATGTCAAGGCGGCATTTTTAAATGGTGTTCTAGATGAAGAAGTTTACACGGAAATTCCAGATGGTTTAGAGGAGGATAAACACACCAGAGAATCGAAAGTGTGCAAATCAAGGCACTGTATGGTTTGAAAGTAAGTTCAAAGAAATGGAACATACAATTCACAGAAGAAGTAAGAAAACTTGGACTAGAGAATGCTTTACACAAACCATGCTTATATACTGGGAGGAAAAACGGTAAAATGGCTATATTAGCTCTATATGTAGATGATATCTTAGCAGCCAGACAAGATGAAACTAGAGGAAATTACAGATCATTCAAGTAGAGCGTTTGAGATAAAAGATCTCGGAGAACCGAAGTGTTTTCTAGATATGAATATTCAGAGAAATAGAAAAGAAGGATACATGGTAATTAATCAGTCAACGTATATCAAAAGTATTTTAGAGAGATTTAACATGAAAGAGTGTAAGCCACAAAACACTCCCATGGTGACTAGACAAGTAATGAACAAAAATAAGAAGAGAAAATTAGAAGAAATAGAATTGGATACAGAGTCAAGAAATACACAAACCAAAAAGGTACCATATAGAGAGGCGATAGGCAGTTTAATGTATTTGGCAAACGCGACACGTCCAGATATAGCATTCGCAGTCAACTACTTAGCCAGGAGACAATTAGAGCCAACTGAAGATGATTGGAGAGATGTAAAAAGAATATTTAGATACTTAAGAGGAACTGTTGAATAAGGGTTAAAATTTAAAACTTCACAGTATGAATAAGAAGCTTATACAGATGCCAGCTTCAGGGATCATGAAGATTCAACATCATCGGGTGGATATGTAATTAAACTTTTTGAGGATGTGATTGCGTGGAGAAGCCATAAGCAAAATGATGTAACATTATCAACTTGTCAAGCAGAGTACCTGGCAATGAGTGATGCTTGCCAAGAATTAATATCCTTAGATAAGGCAGTGAGATTCGCAATAGAAAAAACATTATTCCCTGTTACAATATGGTGTGACAACAAGTCAGTAGGAGACTGTACTAAGAAAGATGGTCGTCACAAACTTAAGATGTTTGATGACAATTTAGAAGAAATAAAAAGAGACCTACTAGAAAGGGAAAAGAGTGGAACTAGAAGACGTATAGCTAGCACACATGGAGGTTTTATAAAGCAGTGTGTTGAGGAAAATAGAGTTAGAGTAAAATGGGTGA